CCTTCACTACCTTCCATAGGAGGTTTTGTAGTTTCCTTTCAGTGTCTGCTATCAGCACAGTGTCATCTGTGTATCTTGTGTTGTTAAGATTGTGGCCACCCGTGATGAACCCTAGTAGGCTTTCCAGTTCTCTCAGAATTGCCTCACTGTAAAGGTTGAATAGGTCTGGTGAGAAGATACATCCTTGCCTTATGCCTCTTTCTATTTTTGTGTATCTTCTGAACTCTGTTTTTATCTATATGCAGGTGGTTTGCTGCCAGTAGAGATTTTTGATTATTCTAATGTCTTTCCAGAATGTGTCAAGGTTGCTGAGAAGCTCTAACAGATCTTTGTGGCATACTTTGTCAAACACCTTTGCATAGTCTATAAAACACATCTACACATTCTTTTTGCATTTGTATTGCTCTTTCTGATAACATTATAAGCATGAATATTGTGTTCCTTGTTCTGGTATTTTTAACGAGCCTGCATTGTTCTCGTCTTATCTCTGGTCTGATTCTGCTGCACACTCTATTCATCAGAATACGGATGATGAGTTTTGTTATATGGCTCATTAGGCTGATTGTTCAGTGGAGTTTGCATTCATTTGCACCTGGTTTCTTAGGCAGTGCTATGAAAATAGATCTGCTTAGATCTTCCAGTATATCCCCACTGTTGTAGATTTCATTTATTATTTCTGTAATCTTGTCTGTGCCAAAATCATCTAAGGCTATCAGCATCTCTATTACAATTCTGACTGGCCCTGCTGCCTTTTTTCTGTTCAATTTGGCCAGTGCAGCTTCTACTTTGGTTTTTAGAATTTCGGGCTCGTCGGTAATTCCGTGTATTGTCGGTTGTTCTCTTTCATCATGGAAGAGTTCTTCAATATATTCATTCAGTGCTGAAGGATTTTTTCCTTCTCTAATATGAACATTCCATCCTTTGATTTTATGCAGCCTGTTGACAGGCATGTCTTCTGTCCTGTTAGTTCCCTTACTTGTGTATGCATATCTCCTTTGTTGGTGGCACTCAACTCCCTATTTTTGCACATTTTTTCATTTAGCCACTCTTCTTTAGCCTGCCTGCATTTGGTCCTTATTTTCGTGTGGTGTTTTCTGTATTCCATTCCATATCTTGGTGAAATTTTCTGTCTCTTTTGCATCATGTCAAATCTAATGTGATCCATTCATATATTTTTTTTTTCTTTGTCCATTCTCCATTGGGGTGATATCATTTACTGATGTCGCTAAAGCTTCTCTTAGTTCGTCCCATTTGGAGTTTTATTTCCATTTTGTCCCTCGTATCTTTTTTTCACATTATCCATATATTTTTTTCCTTCAGGTCCAGGTCACTCAAGAGTTGTATTGCAGTTTGGGTGCTGCATTAGGCTTCTTTAGTTTCTGTAGTGTCACTTTTAATTTACTTATAACAGGGCAATGGTCGGCACTTGGGTAGTTTTGCAGTGAATCAGTGCATTCTTGAATCTTTTGTAAATAGTTTTGTAGTCAATTTGGTTTTTAATTTTTCCTCCTGGGCTTCTTCATGTCCATAATCATCACACATGTTTTTGGAGCCATGTGTTGGCTATTACCTGGTCATTGGCTGTGCACCATTGGACCCATTTTTCTCTAAACTTGATGCAGGTTCCTAGTCCGAAATTTGCTAGCTATCTCCCCTGCCCTCTCCTACTTTGACGTTCATGTCTTCCATGATAATTATAAATTCTTGTGATTTACAATGACCCTTGGCATTGTTTAGCATGGAGTAGAAAGAATCAATTTCTTCTTCCTTACTTTGTGCTGTCAGTGCATGCACTATTATGATAGCTATGTTGAAAGGTTTTCCTTTCAGTTTGACTACCAGAATTCTTTCAAATAATTGATAGTATCCCAGAATGCATTTCTTGAATTCTTGAAGGATCAACATAAGCAACAGGTGTCACTGGACTGTCAGCCAGCGACTGCTTGCATCAAACAAAAAATAACTTGATATGGAACATTAAGACTTTGAACAACTGTGACCAGTTAGAAAATGTAAAACAAGATATGAGTATGCTAAATATCAATATTTTAGGTGTGAAACTGTGGCCAGACAGCGAAGATTTTGTCAGTGACAATCACAGGATTATATATGCAGGCGGAAAGAACAACAGACAACTTACCACACCCAAAAAGCTTAAACCAGTTATGTTCAGCAGTCAGATATTATTTCATTTCCTTCCACTTCCCAAATTCTTTGAATAGTGTCAGTAACTTTGTGGCCCTGTCTAAAATAATGGCTGAAAATTGTAATAATCTCAATATTTGTGTCTCTTATTATAATATCTGAAAGGCTACACCTGAATTCTCTTGATAATTATGTGGTATTATTATTATAATAATAAAGAGAACATGATTTAAGAAAGAAAAAAACGGTATTTGACAATTTTAAACAATATATGTCTTAAAGTTATGTTTTTAAATATTTTTTTTTTCAAGTATAGAAATGTATAAATCTACAAAATATTATAAGTCTTTATACAAATAAAAATAATGCACTTATAGATTTCTTATGGAAGTATATATAAAATAAACTTGAGAGTAAAGGTCTGTTTATAAAGAAATAAATTTCAATATTGTCATTCATATAAATTGTCATATAAACATCTTCACTTCAACATTTTCTGATGCAATTTTCTAGTTATGTAAAAACTTTTTTGGGGACATTAATAGAATTCTGTCTTTTTGCTGACTTGAGATTTTATTGAGAGAAAAGAAAAGTGAAGAGCTGACTTGTTTAGAGTCTTTTGTTTTATGCATGGGGCCATCATTAAAGCTGTTTATGCCTGTTGATTGGCTTGCACATGAAACTTTGAGTAGCATCATGCAATAAGGAATGATTCAACTATTCATAACAAAAGATTTATTGATTTTTTTTTTTTTTTTTTTTTTTTTTAATGCCTACATTTTACAAATGCATATTCAGATAAAAAAAAAAAAATTATTGCAGCAGATTGTGTTGTAAAAGACAACTCATTCCTGTGTTATCAAACAAGTACACAATTTAAATATCTGGGAAGTGTTTTAACAGAGGACGGAAAGTGCAACACTGAAATCTGAAGGCACATTGGGATAATAAATAGATGCATTCTGAAAGTTATGCAGAGTATTAAGGAACAGTACTAAACTGTTATGTGATATGTCCTCCTGTATGGTACCGGATGCTGGGCAGTCTCCTCAAAGATGAAGAAGAGATTTGTGCTGAGAATTCCATGGATCAAAGATGTGAGAAACAACAAGGTTTTGAAGAGAATGGAAACTTAAACTTAACATCAGGAAGAGGCAGTTAAAATTTCTAAAATGAGGAAGGAGGACTTGGAAAACCTGATACTCACAGGACAGATTGAGGGCAAAGAGGGAAAGCAGCATGTAACATACTTGATGAGCTTGAGCAAGTGAATGGTAGAATAGGGTTTGGGCAGAAATAACAAAGACAAAACTTAAAAGCTACAAGGGACAGGAAGATGTGGAGGGCTATGATGTTCTACATCCTGAATGGACATTTTCATTCAATTACTTTTATTTTTTATAACAGTTCTGTTGTCTGTTATGCCTAACACTTCTAACAAGTTAAGGTGTAGAAAATTTTCATATTTGTGCTGCTGTTAACACGACTGATCTCATGTATGTGATATACACTTGAGTAATCATATCTCTTTCAAGTCATGACTGACTAGGCAGAAAATTTCCCTGCAGTAGTTTTCCATTTGTTTCTAAGTTAGACTAGTTGCCAACCAAGGCTATAGGGTTCACTCTCTTATTATTCAACCCATAGCTAGGGGTAGAAAAGATGGATTCATACCTTTCCCAAGAATATTTACACATAAGTGAATGTCATGAACCTGACTGGAATTTTGACTTAGCCCTCTGATGTCACATTTCGTGCCAATATCCTTTATACCTCAATGCAAATTTAAAAAAAATTTTGTATTTGATATAATAACTTAAAGACTTTACAGTTTCTTTTTTAAAATTAGCAGAATCTTTAAAATAAGGAATTATTATGTCTTTTTGTTCAAACTGGCATATTCATCTTGCTTTTTCTACTCTTGATCCAGTCATTGTATACTTCAGCCTTCTTCAGGTGTCTGTACCTGATAACCTACTTTTAACCAAATCCTTTATTCAATCCATGGAAGTAGATTATTTCACTTTCCTTACGAGATCTCTTGTATCCATTAATTAATCTTTGTGTTGCTTGTTTGTTTCTTCCACTGAACCAGAGTATATGACTCTTCTGTACTACCAGGCCCAGAGATTGAACTCTCAACTGCAAGGAAAACATTATGCTTTTATCAATGCTTTAATCTACTAAATTATGTCTCTTAAGAAATTCCATGGTACAGTTTTGAAGCCTTAAACCTAATGTCTTTACTCAAGTGGTAAATATTCTGAATGCCTTTTCTTTCTTAATCAGAAGCTCCCAGATGGTGTTCATCTCTATGCTAGGTCTACTGGGGAGGTTGTTAGAGCCTATAACCCATACACTGATTTCACTATCTGAGAACAGGACATAGGTTTAAGGCTCCAAAATTATGACCAAGATGAGCATACTGATTCCAACGATTTTATAATGGTTCTTTTTTTTATTATTTAAAAAAAGAACAAAAAAACTCATTCATTTTTCATCATTACAAAGGTATTTTTAATAAAGTCTAGTACATATATGCTTTGATTTATTTTAACTACTTAGCATGTTACCAATAGCTTGCAAGTTTACTTACTGCTGCACTATGAGCAGCTACTTAGATTACAAATTTAGAGTTTAGTTTCAATTTTTCCAAAATATCACAACCCAAGTTTTGCCCGTCCTGGCTGCAGCAAGGCTTCTGATCAAGAAATTAGAGGAGCCTGGAACCACTTCTTAATTGCTGCTGTTCCCAGGTTTAGCCTGACCCCAGGGTGGTAGCACCTGTTAATAACAATTATAGCAATGTCAATATGAATGTAAACATTGATCATCTTTTATTTCTTTTTTGATAGGTGATTCTCCAGGTTTTAGACATCCACCAAATGATGCTCCTGCTATGCAGTACCTTGATACAGTGGATAAAGGTAGTGTGGCTGATAAAGCAGGGCTGAAAGGAGGAGATTTCATTTTAGAGGTAAGCACCTTTCTTATTTTTCTGATGTATAGCTTTCCTTTTAATTCAAAGGTTGGCAAACATTTTGGAAGTGAACCAAATTGGCTTTTTTAAATTGTAGGCCAAGACACTCAAAATAAAACAGCTATATACAAAAAACTAAGAAAACATTTTTAACACTTTCAATGATGCATTGTTGCCTGGCTGTGTTGGCCCATTTTGGGGAAAATAATTTACCATGACTATAAAGATGCTAATGGCAATTTCTCATAGGTGTCAGCATTTTGGTTTCAATCATGATGCTCTGCTGTACAGGCTAAGCTAAACAATATCCTCCCCTTAATGTAATAAAAATACATCGTATTGTAACTGTAATACGTCTATATGGTTTAGAAATAGCACTAAGTTTATAGCACAAATGTTACTGACATTTGAATGCAACTTTTCATTAGTGTCTTTTTATATATATTTTCTTCTGCTATAATATAAAATACAATGAACTTTATTTAAGTCTGACAACCTGATATGCACTTAATAACAATGTGTGTTTTTTTTATGGCAAAGAGAGGCATTACTTGACACCAATAACAGAATATTTCCTTAGTAAATGGAGATTAGGTTGCTAATATATTACTTTTTTATTTCTTTTGTTAGCTTTCTTTGGATATCTTTACTTTTAATGACATAAACAAAACAAAGCAGAATACTTTCTGAGCTGCAGCAATACGTTTGTGCTGATAACAATCCAAGATAACTTATCTACAAGATAATGTAAGCAATTCTAGTGCAACACTATTTAATTATGGCGATTTTATATATATATATATAAAGTGGCCACTTAAGGAACTGCATTCCCGATCAAACCAAATTCATAATTGGACATACCACTACATGTCTATCAAGAAGACTCCTGTTGCATCTCTCTGACCATAGCTCAATTAGTACTCATTTAAGCACACATGGAAATCTTCCAAACTCCATCTGCAATATACTCAGATAAAATACAACTATAGTAGCCTCATCCATGAAAATAAAATAAAAATAATGGAAGTATTAATAATATAAAAAAAAAAGCCTATACTCAATAACATCAACTATGAACACAGCCATAATATGCCGACCATGTTTGTAAAATAAGATTCTATCACTCTAGATACATATAAAAAAAAAAAATCTACACATTCAGTTAAAAATAAAAACATCATTGCCAATGGCTAATAGAAGAGCCGAAAGTGATCAGATGTATAGAACATTCAGACAGTTTTTACACACTTTCTCCAGAAAAGAAAACACTTATACAAACATAAGAAAAATTGAATAAAAAGCTTAATAGCAGTACATTGCCACTCATTTTTAATTAAACTTGTATAAAAGAGAAATTGTTGCCTAAATGCACAATATATATATATATATATATATAGTTTTAGGGTATGCTATATTTATGGGTTAAAGTGCTCAACACCAGGGATAGAGCATACATAAATATAAAAGTGGACATTGAGGTCAACACCCAGTGGTGAGTCTTTCATGTTTAAGTGCAATCTTCAACCCATATATATATATATATATATATATATATATATATATATATAATGTGGGTAAATTGCTGCCATTTTATATTTTTAATTTTGCATATACAAATTGTTTTTGATTTTTGTCAACTGCACAGTATAGTAGGGTCAGTTGGGCACCGTCTGTGAGAAAAAGAGTATCATGACACAATTCACTCTGCCAGAAATTTTGAAATGGCATACTGTACTGCTTGGCATTCACATCGGAAGTGTTTGGGTTTCAATGTGACAACAGTGCAAAGGATTTGGAAAGATTTGGATGATAGTCAACATCAAGATTTAGAGTGGTCACTAGTGATGGTGACCATATACCTCTATTCATCTTCCCACAGGGTCTCAGACTTAACATAGGTCTACATCAAGTGCCTTTAGTGGGTAGTGCTGCCTTGGGTCAAGAGGGTGGCTGCTAGAAGAGCCTATGCCTAGTAAGAGGACTCTGCACCATGCCACACAAGCAGGATAACCCAGTTCAGGCTATCAGACAATTTCTGCAACCACATCACCCATTACATCTGGCCACCTAAATCCCCAGACTGCAACCCCATTGATTATTGTGTGGGGCACAGTTGTGCCATGGTTGAAGCCAGTGGCGATGATTTTTTGAATAATTTTACTCTTTAGTATGTCAAGATATATTTGTGTAATTTTGCTAAATTTATCTGTCAAAACTTGATGTCAGTGTTAATTTCATTTTTGTGTAATTTTGATGACAATTTATCCATCGCACCCGGTATGTGTGAATAATAATATATATACACACACAAAGTAATTTTCCAGTTAGTCCATAGGAAATGTAACGTTCTAACAAACTAAGTTAAAAAAGAAAAAATAAAATTGTATATCCCTTACATGTATTTTAAAACCTTTGGTCTACACTGGCATTATTTACATTCAATAGACTGACATTTAATTTGAAATTTTTTTCTTTTTTTAAATATTAGAATGAAATTAGTGAAACTTTCTTCTAATAACCTTTTTTATAATTAACGATGGTTGAAAAATCCTACAAAAGATGAATATTGGACAAAGTCTTTATAAATTTGATCTTGCACTTTTTATCAGTTGACCATTCATCCATGCATTGAATATTGTTGCTTCATCTGGAGCTTCTGTGTATCTAGAGATTTTCAACACAATCCAAAAATCTGCAATTACTTCTGACCTGGCATCTTGACTTCAATTCTTTACCCAGTTGTAAACTTGGCTTCCATGTGCATTTTTTTATAAATGTTTTCATAGCAATTGTTCTGATGAATTTTCCTCTTTGATACTTTATGAATCCATAGAACTGGATTGGCAGTTAGGTCTCATTATTTTACTGCTTAAATTGCTAAATTTAAATGCAAGTTCTATTCTAATGGTCTCTCTTGCACTTCTTACCCATGGAACTTTCTTTCAGTTTCTTTCTTTCCTGTCATCAACAATCGCAATCTTTTATCTTAAATTCTGTTTTTTTTATTGTCTTTTCTTCTCAGTAACATTTTCTCAGTTTCTTTCACTCTCAGTAATCCATTGTGTCTTAGTGGCTTTATCACCTTGCCTGGGGTAGAATGTTTAAAAGAAAAAAAATGTAAACTTGAATTGTTTTGAAAATATAAAGTAATTCTCTTTTTAATAAACTGTGATTGATTACCTCAAGAATTCTTGTTGGTAATTCCAAGAAGGTAGGATAGTTATGGGAGAATGGTTTTTCAATCTGTTCACTTACCTATTCTGCTCCATCAAATGGTATATATATATATATATATATATATATATATAAGTGCAGATAGTAGATTCATACCTTTGGTCATTGTCAGGGAACATGAACAACCTCTGCTAGAATTTGAACATTGTTCATCAAATTCATAACTGCTAAGTCCATTACTTAGAGAGGGGTGACTTGCTTTTTTTTTTTCGTCTTTCTTTTTTTTTTTTTTTTTTTTTTTTTTTTTGTAGACTCTTCTGGTGACATGTTTTTGCTTCTATTCACAAAATATCAATTATAAATGGATAAACTACTATTTAAATGTCTTTTTCTTTTTAAACTGACAATAGGTCCTAGAAACTTTTTAAATAATTAATGTCTTATATGTAATACAGAATCTCTTTTTATCCGGTCATAATTTTTTTAAATTATGTTTTTATTTTCTCTCTAGAAAACTAAAACCTTAAAATGAATTTCTCTTCCACCAGATAAATGGGCAAAATGTGACCAGAGCTTCTCATGAGTATGTGGTCAACCTTATAAAATCTTCAGGGAACACTCTGACCATGAATGTCCTTACTGTGAAACCAACAGAACGTGATCAGAATTGGTACGTCCATCAGGATGGATCCATGACACTTCCGCATCGACGGAAACAAGGTAAAGTTTAAGATCTCTTCTTCACCAACGCAAGCATTAAAGCAATTATTATGAAAATGGAAAAAATAATTTGTAATGATTTAAATTTGTTCCATATATGAAGGGATGCTGAAAAAAAAAGTTCTCGGTCTGCCAAAAGGTTCTTCCTAAAATATCTGTTTGGTCATATTTTGACAAATGGGTCAAGCCAAAAGCTTCTCTCACTCACACACACACACACATATATATATATATATATATATATATTTGAATTTGAAAATGCAACTAGTCTTTAAGAATATTTATTTAGAATAACTTTACCAGTTTCGGTTTTATGATTTTCAAAAGTTAAATTGAGATGGAGAGACATATGGCTATGCTATGATCCATTTTGTATATGTAAACAAATGCCATGATCTGTTGTACAGATGCAAAAAAAACAAGCTTCATTAAATGACAAGGTGCTTTAGTTTTTTTTTGTTTTTTTTTATATATATATATATATAATTTCTCATAGCTTATAATTTTTTTTCTTTTCCGTTGGTAAATTATACAAAAACTGTCCAAATGTTTAATTTTCCCAAGCACTTTCTGCTATATCTTTAGCCATTATTTATTTTTTAATTTAAAAATCTATTAAGGAATTGTGTTCCTGATCATTCAAAACTAATAAACACCACAACATGATTAACAAGAAGACTTACGCTATATCTTTCTAACCATAGCTCAATTAGATCTCATTTAAATAGTCATGGAGACCTACCAGACCCTATTTGCAACATACTTGTTGATAATACAAATATAATAGCATTGTCTACATGTTGTTATAATAAAAAAAAAAAAAAAAAGGCTAAAAATAATGGAAGCCTTATTAATAAAAATAAAAAAAAACATCATTCCGTAATATCAACTATGAACATGGACACAATATGTTGACTTTGGTTTGAAAAAGAAATCCTATAATGCTAAATACTGATACAACAATCCATTTCCAGTTAACAGTAAATATAATTCTTCCTTGATAATGGCTAAAGGTATAGATGAAAATGCTTGGGAAAATGAAATATTTGGACAGTTTTTGTGTAATTTCTCTACAGAAAAGAGAAAAAAAAATCATATGAGAAATTATATAAAAAAAACTTAATCAAAGCACCGTGTCTGTCATTTAATGAAGCTTGCACATATATATATATATATATATATATATATATATATATATATATAACTGTTATAGTGGAACACACCTATTCTATAGTTAATAGACTCTCCCACCTACAATAAGTACGAGTAGTAAGAGTAACAAGTGGGTCAGTCAGTCAGTCGATGTTGGATGACAGTTAGTCGAATACTAAACTATCAGCGACCACAACTAGATTACTCTGTGTTATACCTATTATATCAAGTTCCTAACGTTTTTGTACGCCGAACCTATTTTAGGACCGACTTAGTACAAATACAAGCCTCCACTGTGAAATCACTCCATAACACTATTTTCTGTTTTAATACATTAAACTTTTAAGCTGACTCAGAATTTTGCTACTTACCAATGAATAATTTTAAAATCTTTATGTTGCTGTTATTAAACATTTTTTTAAATTTTTCTTTACAAAGAGAAGCATAAAATATTTTTTAATCCAACTGGAATTTGTCAATTTCCTTCTCAATCCTGACCTTTTGTGAATTTCTATTTCTAAGCCATATTTCAATAAGTGACTTGGTAAATTATATTTTTCATCTTCATAAATCTTGACAAGAATTAACATAGAATCATTTTTAATTTATGCATTTGTTATTGCTAGAAAATTGTTAAAGTACAACTTGGCACTTAATAATAAAAAAAAAAAAATTGCAGATTTACAAAGAACTGTACCAAATAATGGAAACCACATCACTGGAGGACTGCCAACAGCAACAAATAAATTAACACATGTTTTTCAAAGAGAAAATAACATAATCAAGATGTTAATGTTCTAAACTTCTTCAAGCAAAAGGTTAGGATGGAAACTCCCATCATTCCTGGAAAGAATTTTAACAGCTACTGAACTTAAGAAACGTGTTTTCTTGAAAAAATTTTTAAGAGAAAGATTTTTATAAATTTCAATCCAAAACAAAACAAACTACTAGATAATGAATGGATATCACATAACTCAGAAAATAACATAATCAAGATGTTGACTTTCCACACTACTTCATGCAAAAGATTAGGAAGGAAATCCCTATCATTACTGGAAAGAGTAACAACAGTTAATGGGCTTAAGAAACCTATTTTCCTGAAAAATTGTTTTAATAGAAATATTTCAACCAAAAGTATCACTGGCTAATCAATTAATGAATGCCAAGAGATGTTTCCTTATAGGGAAACGGCTAATATTATCATTAGGAATCGAATATAAATTTTTTTCAGAGAAAAATCTCTCCTCTGCTTGTAAAACTGCTAAATGTTTTAAGCTAAAGTTCAATTGAAAATGTTACAAATATTAAATATTTTCTGCTTAAAATGAAGATTGGTTATAAAGATTTATTACATTTTGAATAAATCTTTAATCACTTTGTGTATTACTGACTGTAAAAAGATATTATCAGAAGTATAATCCAAGTATTGTATATTTGACTTAAAACAATATTTGACTTGGTTTTGTTCTAAATGTTTTTCCTTGTTTACAGCTCCTGAACCTCCGCAGAGAGATCCAAACACCTCATTATCATTTAGCAAAGCAAAATCTAAGTCTTTTGCTGAAGGAATGGCTGAAATTGGTAAGTAATGTTTTAATATCAATAAAATATGTAATATACTGCAGAAAGATAAATGTCTTGCAAAGAAACCAAAAAGTAGTCTAAAGGACGTTTCTACTATTACTGTATAATCCCTTGGTAATTTTTTATTTTTTTTTTTTAAGCTGTTTTTAGAATTTTAATATAATCATAACATGAAAATGAATGTATACATTCACGACATAGGATAGTGAATTTATGTAGTGAGAGAAAATGAAAGAAAATATTCAGAAATTTTTTTTTTTTTTTTCAAAGTTTATAATTGCTTGTGATGTTTTCAATTTTTCTTGTTTCACTGACATTTTTATAATTTTTATGAATATAAAAAAAAATTATATTTTCATAGTTATTTCTTTATAATATAAATATCTTTCATTGTTTACATATTTTTTTTTTATAATTTTGTAAATAATTTATAGTTCATAAATTATATGCTCTTGTGTATTAAAAAAAAAAAAAAAAAAAAATTTAATAACCTGAGAATACCAAAAATACTGAATAAAAATATGAATTGGATTGTAAAATAAAAAATGTTAGTAATTGCATTTTATTTTAAGTATGCTAACTTATTAAAATCAAAATTTTGGTCAAGATGGATAAATATGCTTGAAAAAAGACAACTTTCCCCATGATACTTTTTTTCTTTTTTTTTTTTGATTACCTTCTCACTTCGGCAATGTTTGTTTTTAAAAAGTGAAGATTAGAATTGGAATGAAAGTGAATTTAAACATTTTCTTAAATTTACAACAAAAATAAAAAACACTATTATATTATTTATTGGAATGATTGGCAAAACAACAGCTAATTGCCAATTGATTCAAACTTTATAAAATGGTAAATAAGGATTTCCTTATAGTTGGTTCAAATATTTTAAAGACTTAGTAAATGTTTATAAATGTAAAAATAATTTGTATTCATTTCTTTACAAATTAGTAAACATTGCATTAGTTTTAATTAGTTTTTAGAATGTTAATATAAAATTATTCTTGTAAATAAACAATTTAATAAAATGTTTTTTTTTTTTTTTTTGTTTTTGCCCTTGAAAATTTACAATAAAAAATATGTATAAATTCACTTTCATAATGTTTAAGCTCTATTCCAATTTTAGTCATTGCTTTTAAAACAATAAAAATTGCTGAACAGTAAAATTAGTTTTTTTTAAAAAAATGGTATCATAGAAAAAATTCTGGTTTGCCAAATTTTCTTTATGGAAAGTTTTGCCTTTCCATCAAAAACAATTTTTTTTAATATTCACTCTGAAATCTAAACTATATATATATACATATATATAGTGAGAGTCAGAAAATGAAGTTAACCTGGAAGTCACAAGTATTGAATCTATATAAGAAAAGTCTTGGCTAGGATGGAGGACTACAGGGAAACAGAGGCAGGTGACATTGGCAGTGTACTGCCTGTGTCAAGACAACCTTCTCCCATTGAAGTAGTCTACTGAAAAAAGGTCATAAAGATACAGTTCTGCAAGGTTGGTGCTTCTATTGGTTGCAAGACCCTTTCCTGCAGTTATTCTAAAAGGAACACAAGACCCAACATAAGCTTCACTAACCACTGGGCAGTATGTAACAGACATAGGTGGGGGGGGGCTTAAAAATTTCCCTTTGTATTTGTGAAGCTGAACCATAAGTCATGAAGTGTAGGTTTTATATTAGATGCATTATTTACATATAACTGATGATTTAAGAATTGACAGATTTTTGTAAGTTGTTTGTACAAACTGAAAATTTTACTTACAACCAAAATTCAGCTATAATTTATTTTTAATATTTTTTCTTGCAAGATTTTCTTTTTTTTTTTCTATAAAGATTTTTGTTTTTTTTACTTGCAGAAAAACTTGACCAAACTCTTGCTGAGTATGAAGTCTCAGACACTCCTTCTGGTGAAAGTGCATACAGCTCCGGACCAAAATCTAATGGTGCAGAGATGAAAACTGCCTCTATCCGAGCAGGCTATGCGAAGAAACGTGTTTCGAGTGTGGAATTAGAAAACCTATGTCGTTCGGATTCTCCACATAAGCCTGAACATCTGAGTCCCTCTGAAGTTCGAATTAAGAAATATCACAAAAAGCAGAGCAATTTGGAAAAATCCCAGAGCACCCCAAACCTAGCCCAAAATCTGGAGGAACAACAGCCAGATGCAACTTCTGTACCAAATGCCAGCCAGCCCATGTACCGTACTGTGGCAAGTTCTGGACCTTCAGATTACAGTCCATACAGCAGTAGCTGTTCTTCTGGCCCAGGCAAATATACCCAGCACTTACATCCTGTTCCCTACATGGGCAACCTTCCAAATGTTCTTCCAGGAATGGATGTTTCTGGGTGTCGACACTCTGTTGCAATAGGACCTAATGTTCAGGTGAATTCATTGCCTAGCCATGCTCGCGGAAAGGCACGCCCTGTAGCTCCACCAGTGGTTGGTCAAACTAATGCCCCAACAAAGCAACCAGCTCCAGCACCACCTCCCCAGGTGGTTAAAATAAGCACAAACAAAGAGCAGCCTGTTTATGCTTCAGTAATTAATGGAGCTGTTAACCCTACGCGGCAGACCCCACAAGAGAATCCATATGAATCTAGCTTCCGACCAGGGACAGTAGCTATGTTTGGCAACAAAAAACCAATGGTTACTCAATCAAGTCTTAACCAAGTGAAGCTTCGCAGTTCAAAACAGAATGATGGTCAAAATGAAAAATCAGTCCAGCATGCAATGCTGGTGACGGCCGACGTTCATGCCTCATCAGAACTAAAAGACAAACAGAAACAGCGTGACTTGCAGCAATCGTATTACGAACCTGAACCTGACTACGACTCTGAGCATGAAGATGATGTCAGCAAACAACCACAAATGATAAACGGTAACTCTAGCTATAAGACTGTGATTTCGGTCAGTAAGAGTGCTGCTCCACCAACAACTAATGGCTATGTCATTCCACAGCCACTTGCAAATGGGGCCAATAATCCTATCTACAGCATTCCGCAGCAAATGCATTCACATGCCATGCCAAGTGCTTTACCACCACCTGACCAAATCAGCCTTGGTGTAGGCACCCCCATTAACATGATGCCTGCTAAGTCTCCAAGCTCATCATCTTCAAGCAGCTACAAAAGCACAACAGAAATAAAAGCTCCAACTCCTCCACCAGCACCTCCTCTTCCCAGTGACCTCAACTCTCAACTGATTCCTCCTCCACCACAGTTCTGTCCCCCACCACCACCAGCCTTTGCCAAATCTCCAGCGTCAGAAACATCGAATGAGTTCTTGAGTGAGATCAAGCGTGCCGCTATTGAACGAATGAATCGTTCCAAAGATATAGATGCTAAGGACAAAACCCAAGTAGAACAGTCTTCAAAAAAATCTACACCAATGGACAAGAACCAAGCAGCCATTTTAGAGGCAGTTGCCAAGCGCCGAACTATGCTTGAACAAAATGATAAAGATATTGTTGTCAATCAAATCGAAGCTCAGATTCAAAAAGCAAAGAAGATTCAGTCTGCAAAATATTACAACTCTGGTAATGGAGTTAAGAAAGAGATTGAAGTCTTCTCAGAAAATAAAGATTTATTGAAAGAAAAATCAGCATCAACTCCGCCTGTTCCTGCCAGTAAGCCTTTAAAACAAGCAGCAACTGTTGCAAAACCTTCTGCAAAGCCTGTTGCCCCAACAAAACCTAAAGTTGTCGTGGAAAAAGTTCAGAGCAAACCCCCAGCCCCCAATTCAATTTCTACTATTGCTGTTACCATACCCACTCCGGCAAAAGATGCAAAGACCCCTTCTCCTACCAGTACTTTGCTGGGGAGTAAAAATGCTACTGCTGAAAAGACAAACGCTTGGAGGCTGATAAATTGAAGGAAACTGTAAAAACTGTTACTACTAGTACAAAAGTTTCAGAGAAGGCTAAAGTGAGTGAAACCACTAAAAGCAATGATAATGGTACCGATAGTGGAGAGGAAGATTTCCTGAAAAAGGCTGAAAAGGCTAGACAAAGGTATTTACAGCGCAGATCTGGGGCTGCTAATGACAAACCAGCTCATCAAAACACTGCAACTCCTGCTGTTAGTACTGTAAGTGTAACTGCAACTAATCACAAAACTGTCAACAGCAGCAGCACCACCACCATCATAACTCTGCCGAATGCAAATGGGGAAGCAGAGAAAATGGAGCAGACATCTGCAACAAACAAAAAAATCCAGACGACCAATAAAACTAATCTTGAACAAACCAAAAAAACAGCTGCGGCACCAGTGATGAAACCTCAACTCTCTAACGGCAACACAAAGTCTAATCGCAAGTATATTGAAATTCAGTCGGCAGGAAACCAGACAGCTATTGACAAAATTGGTAATGTGTCAATCAAGGACCGAATTGCAAGCCTTCAGAAACAGAATGGTCAGCAAAGTAACAGTCCAGACCTGGCCCAGTTGATTACACTTAAAGGTGTAACTACTAGCCATTCTCACACTGATCCTTTTAATTCATCAGACTCTTGCTCCACCCCCAATGACTCTCCTTATCATGTGACCAATATTGTTGCTCCACCCCCAGGATTCAGTGATACTGATCAGTCCACCCCTGTGGAGACACTCAATAGTATACCACACTTACAGGTCCTGCCTGCTCCACTGTCAGAGTTGTCAATTTCTACAGTACCACCTTATGATCGCCCAACAGATAACCTTGTACCTCAGGATGATTCTCTAAGCCTCATCTCCTCACTATCCACGCTCTCTACTCTCTCAACTTCTAGTACAGAACATCCAATAGAGATTGTTCCGCCACCACCAAGTGGCTTTGAAGACAAAGCCAGCCCAGTTTCTACAGATCAAGGCTTTGAAGAATCCTTTATTTCTCCTCCTCCTCAGTTCGATTCCTCCATGAAGAATGCAGCTTCCACCAAAAACTCTTTCCGAAATAAGCCTGTGGAAGACTGGTTTTATGTGGATGTCCTTGACTGGTTAGAGAGTGTTCAAATGAACCAATACAAGGTCAATTTTGCTAACCACTGTATCGATGGCAAGAAATTACTTAATCTTAAAAGGAATGATTACATCACACTGGGTGTCACGCAGGTAGGACACAGAATGAATCTTGAAAGATCAATAAAGAAACTTGCTATGGCTACTCAACAAAAAACCCAGCACTAAATCTAAACTTATTTGGTCAGTGTGTGTGTGGGGGGGGGACAATAGCAGCATTGATATTGGTACCTATATGTAAGTAAGTATAGCAGTAGATGGCAGTACAAATGGACACTTACTGTTATCTATATCCCCCCTCACATCTACTAATTGCCTAACTGTGATACAGAAACTCAGTGTTAGCAGACATTTCGCTTCCAAATAACACAAATTAGAAGATAATTTCATATTTGAACTGACCTCTTTATAATTTAAAAAAAATATTGACTATTTGTTTATGATTGGAAGCCATTTACTCCTTTGTTTTTTTTAAAAAAAAAAAACAAAAAAAAAAAAATGTGTATAAATCTTTTGCTGGTGAGGGAATCCTATTTGTCTGTTTGATTGGGTGCATGTTTGTGTATGGGATGCTTGTGTATATCTACCCCACCCCAAACGTTTTTATGTTTCTTTGCTTGTCTATACAGAAAATGTCCTTAGTGCAGAAGCACCCTACCTCCCCTCTGCAAATTTCATTCCTTTGGCTTCCTTCATTGATGCCTTTGTATTTTTTTTTCTTAACAAAAAAAGGGGTGGGGGAGGAACATTACAAAGTGAACATTCAAATTTTTTCAATGAATGAATGCATTGAGCATCAGACGCTTATTTAACTCTGGTTTTAGTCCAGATGTCCATTGCACTGTACATACGGGAATTTTGTGACTCCACCTCTGTGACAGAAGGCAGTCACAGAATGTTTTTTTTTAGCTTGCTTAACTACCAGTCTCTCTGTCTCCTCACAAATATTACACAGGATTTGCTACTCTGTTATTGAAAATGAATGTTGATGAAAACAATGTGCATATCATTTTCTACTGACTTTAAAAAAAAAAAAAAAAAAAAGATTATCACAATAGAATTCTACCATTTGAGAGCAATTCTCTCCCCCCCACCCTCTCTGGGTAAAATCATCTATATTTAGTTAACTGGAGAAAACCAACTCTTGAAATACTCAGAAATAATCAACCTTTTTATTTTAAATTGTTTTTTGTTTCTTAAATCTTTTCACAATTTTATATTAAAATTTAATCTGCCTGCAACAAAGATGGTAATGTCAAAAGGACATGGAAAAATCTTGTTTATTCTGGTTTTTCAGAATATTTTGACATTTAGCCCACCTATGACAAATTAATTTTTTCTTTTTCTTTAACTTGTAGAATTTGTGCTTCCTTTTGGAATAACTTCATTCTATCAAAGGCAGAACAAACATAATCACATCTGCATACATGTTAATTATATTGATTTATATGAAAAAACATTGTTATATGTATTCACTTGTTAGTTTTCTAAATATATATATATATAATATATACATACACGCACACATTTTTGTTTTTGAACCCCCCCCCCTCCTAACTAGCTTTTTTTTCATAAGACTTAAGGTGCCTTATAAGGTGATGAGAAAAGACAATTTCCTTCTTTTTTTTTTTTTTTTTTTGTAATTGGAAAGAAATCCTTTAACAATTCTTCTTTCAGAGGAAGCCACTTCCAGAGAATGTGGTACTTAAATTGGAGAGGAGCTCAGGGACTTGGTTGTTTTGTTTTTTTTACCACCAATAAAATGTATAATTTCCATGGATATCAAGAATTAAACATTCCTTAACTCTTAAAATGAAATATCAATTTAACACTCTACAATAAATACAAAGATTCCTTCACATACACAATTGATCATTTAGTTTATTACATTGTTTTCATGTTATCAATCACTTTGAGGCGATACACCACTTATTTCCAATAACAGATATTTAATCGAATAAAGTGTAATGTTATCCCTTTTAAATAAACAAAATCATTAATATTTCTTTGTTTTTTATAATTTATATATATTCTTTTTTTCAAAAGTTTTTTTTATATAAAAGATTGTTGTTTCGATATATTAAAGAAAAACTGAGGATAAGTTACTAAATGGTTTGCCATTAAGACAAATTTTAGTAACTTTAAATGCATTGTTGCAATCTAATTAAAAAAAAATTGAACATGATCTTAAATATCACAACCAAAATTAGTTGAAGAGATTTACTCCCTTATATTTTGTAAGTTTTCAATTCAGGCTTTTGAAAAAAAAAAAGCTTTTAAAGTTTTGTTCATATTTGAAAATAAGATTGTCAACTTGAAATTGTTTCTCTTTATAAAATATCTCAGCTCTTCTGGGAGAAAAGGTAAAATATTGTGAAATAATATAAATTCTTGGAATGGATATGGACTCTTCTCAAACTTTAATAGAGAACAGCTTTATTTCCAGGTCTGTTGTAAATAGTGTGGATGTTTTGAATTTCACTGTTATCTCAGCTTTAATAAATCCAGTTTAAATTAAATTTGAATGTTTAAAGAACCATTAAAATATTCAATGAAAATTTGTAACAATCCTGCTGGAGTTTAAATGGTTAACCCATCAAGAGACTGACCTTGATTCTTGATGCTGAAGACCATCAGAGAAATGAACTTAGTGTGCATCATGGTGAATGTTGCCATATCTGAAAGATTAACAAATTTAAAACTGGCAAATACTGTACAACATTGCGAGATTGCCTTCACTTCATGTCTCTCACAGGGTGTGTGGAGATAGATATCTCTGCATATCTTGAAAGCAGTAATGTATAGTACAAATGGGAGAGAAAACTGACAATTATTTACATTATTCAGACTATTATCCTCATCTTTGTCACCATATTTATTACAATGTTTCGGCTGTTGTCTGCTCCGGCCTTCTTCAGGCAGTTGGAATGTCGAACTGAACCCTTTATTTCACTCACTGGGGTAGACTATTAATGGATAATTCCCCTCTGCAAGTTCTCCGCTGCCTTAACCAGGTATTAAAACTCACTCTTTGGGTCCTGTCACTGGATCTAACTAACGCCTTTATCCACTGTGCCATGTGTCCTTGAAGACATCTGGGTATGAATTTCTGGGTATTATAAACCTCTTCAGCAACCATATTTTACCAGAGCTCATATTGCAATTTTTGTTATCGCTTTTCTCTGGCACGCCTTATTACTGGTTCCCATATTTATTTCTATGCTTGGCCAGCTCAGGAGATTTTTGTGGCCTAGCATATGTGCTGATTCCTTAAGTTTACAAATTTTCCAATGGTGTTCTTTGTCTATGATCTCGGCTCTGATCCCACAGAGGGCGGTGATCTCCCTTTTCTTTCAATATGTGGTCAGCAACACCTGATTTTTCCACTTCCCCTTGTGTTACAGCTTTCTGGTGTTCTTGAAGCCTTACCTTAAGGGGGCGCGGCCTGTCTCCCCTTTATTTCTTTCCACAGCTGCACAGGATAGCATACACAGTCATGTTCTCCTCTATGGGGGGTGTCTTACATGGGAGAGATATCTGAAGGTTGTCCTGATGTTATATAGACCACAGATCCTTTGTATTTTCTCTGATAACCCCTTCACATAAGGCAGGCAAACTGTTTTCTGAGTGTTGTTGTCCTCCTCTTGTACCCGTCTATCCCGGTTAGTTTTTTGGGGCTATTATTTTTTTTTTTTTTTTGACTTTTGCTCGGTGTTGTAAGCAGCGGACAATCCCTTTCTTTACCCTGTATGGGTGGTGGGATTTGAAATTGAAGTACTGTCTGGTGAATGTCAGTTTACGGTATACAGATGTCTTCAACCCATGCTCTGTTCGAGATATTAGAACATCCAGGAATGGGAGTGTTATTACTCCCTTTCTCCATTGTGAACTGTATCAAAGGTCTTATTTAGTTCACATGGTCCAGTAGAACCTGAACATCTTCCTGGTGTGGCCAGAGTACGAAGGTGTCACCTACATACCGCAACCATATAGCTGGCTTTAGAGATATATAGTCTAATGCCATTTCCTCAAAGTATTCCATGTATATATTTGCCATTGCTGGTGATAATGGTGAACCCATTGCTAAGCCCTCATCCTGGTAAAAAATGGTTGCTGAAGACATTAGGTTTATAATACCCAGAAATTCATACACAGATGTCCTCAAGGACACATGGTATAGTGGATAAAGGCATTAGTTAGATCCAGTGACAGGACCCAAAGAGTATAAGTTCAATACCCAGTTAAGGTAGTGGAGAACTTTCAGAAGGAAATTAACAGGAGATAACCGACATCCATTAAACATGGCACGTGGAACTAGAACAGCAAAATAAAGGGTTCAGTTTGACATTCCAACCACCTAAAGAAGGCCGGAGCATACAACGGTCAAAACATAATAAATATGGCGACAAAGATGAGGACAATAGTCTGAATAATGTACATGATACCTCATCTCAGAAATATAGATACTAAAACTGACCATGTTTGTTTTTCTTTTATTATGAAATGAATGTATGTGACGTATCTTTTTTTTTTTTTTTTAAATCCCTAAAAGAAATAACAATTTCTAGTTTGTTTGTTTTTATTAAAACAATGAAAGTCACTGAATAAATTAAGTGGACAGCTTGAGTTTGACATCTAGAATTGTCAGACTAGCATAATTTACATCAGATGTCAACTGCTGGTATCTTCAAGATTCTGTGGATTGGAGAGGTTTTCAGGAGAACTGGATTCTTCTTCTGCCATTTCATCATCATCAGATAAATCAAAATTCTGAAAAGACAGGATTAACAGTAATTAAGAGCAGTTATGAATAATTAAAAATAAATTTTTATAATTATAATCAATTTACCCCCAAGAAGAAAGAATTGATGTGTAACATGTTGACATTAGTGGTTTAATATCATTCCAACTACAAAGCCAAGATTTACAAGGTAGGCACATTCTTTCAGCTCCATCTTCTGATAGCTTCATGCTGGCTACTAATCTAAACTAAATTTCTGTATTTTTTTTTATTTGATCTGTCATTAACATCTGTTACTAGTTTCTTTTTAAGTCATAATTAAGTATTACACTCCCTGTTTAGTGCATCCATGTACATTTTGAAAATATTACTTTTTAAATATGACTCTCTATAAGGAGCATTCAGTTTTAAGATGTTGCTTTGAAAGATATATGTTTATGTTGGGAAAGTAAAATTGGCAGTAAGACTTAAACTAAAATTTCCCACCAAATAAAGAATCTAAGAGACAATGTGGATGCTGATGACAACTACAAGATCCTTGCCACATAGACAAGAAAATACATTTTTCTGA